CACATCCTGCACACTTCCAGCCAGTAGATCCAGGTTTGCATTTGCATTGTCCAGTAACAGGATCACAGGGATCAGGCAGTGAACCATGTGGATGACACTCACATTCTTGACAAGATCCACCAGGGATGTTTGGATTCCCAGTGTATCCAGGAGAACACCTATAGGTTGAAAAATAATAATGGAAATAGTTACACATAAAGACTATGAGTGTAAATGGTTTTCTAATTTCAGTGGCAGTTTTTGGGGGTAGAGGGGGAAGTCTGTAAAAGTCAGAATTGATGGGTGATATAAGCTAACATGCCTTTCTAAATTTCATTCATCTTCATAGGATTTTTCTTTTACATATTTTTCCATGCTCTAACTTCATTCTACTTTGAGGGCATAGCTTTGTACTTTTCTGCCCTGAACTGACTGCTGCAGCGCCTGTAATATGCTTTTTAAAAGAATTCCTCTGCCTGTTCCATATTTCAGACCATATTTGATTATTCCTTGGAAGAAGTCAGATCTATAATTATTACAAACTATCATGTCAATTGTTCCCTACTTCCCCAAGTGCTGAGAAATTTAGTGTTCTTAGCTTTAATATTGCATTTAATGATGTAAGATGCTTCATTGTTCTTAGCTTTAAATATTGTGTTTTAATGATATTAACCACCATTGTGCACTCATTGCTTTCAACTTTAGACATTGTTTTCAAAGCTGTAAGCTGCCTAGGGTCCTTTTCAAAGAGAAAGGTGGGATGTAAATATTATAAATAAATAAATAATAAGTTCTAAGAATCAAACAAAACAAAACAAAACAGATAACAAGTCATTAGAAGCAGGAATTCTTCAAACACTGCAAGATGGCTCTGTGACATAAACTTTTTTTTTTCACTTAACACCTTTAGTAGTTTGAGGTTTGTTTTCAGAATGGTCATAATCAGAAAGTTAAACATGGTCTTCTTCTTGGCAAGACTGATTGATAAGGCCAGAACATCTGGTGGATTTCCATTGGTGGAAGAATAAACCAACTTTCACTTTCTATAAAGATGTACCTTTTGCACCATTTAGCTTGACTCATGGTTTGGCTTCATTTGGATAAAATCACTGATGACTGTCCCCTTTTCTTGTAATACAGTATTAGCTTTATTAAACAAATAAAAAAAGAGAGAATATCCAGAAGCAAACAAGTCACAAATTTAAAAGGCTGCAGATCTGATACATATGTCATGTACCAAATAGGCCAGAATCCTATTGATGTTTGCATAAAATTTGCATAACCTGTCCTGGATAATTGATAAAATGTCAGGACATATCTCAGTTACATATGTGAGTTCATAACTGACACTTTGTCAATTAGTTGCATCAAGTAGCATAAACCTTGTGTGAATATCACTTGGAATCTGATCACAGTTCATATAATTTTATAGATTTGGTCTTTTCTGATTGGACCAATTCTTGGTTCATAATGTATGCCCTTAATTGTGACTTTATGATCTTTTTGTTTTTGTTATTCTTCATTTATTCTTTTAGTTATGATCCTATGTGTTACTTTCGTTACCTTTCACAGTACTGTCCTTCATATCCAGGTGGGCAAGCAGTACATCGGTAATCATTGACTCCTTCAGTAACACATGATGGACTGAAGCTTGAAAACAAAAATAAAATTTAATTAGAAATTAAAACATTCATTCATTCATTGAATCACACTAGAGTAGACTCAGTCAATCAATAGGGATTTGGTGAGTCAACTCAATATATTCCATTGGTTTAAAAAGTATCTACTCTGTGACTTTAGTATACTTGGTTACAATTACAGTAGGCACATTTGAATCAATGGAACATATGGAGGAGTTAACCCAATACATCCCCATTCAGTGGGACTACTCTTGTACAATTTGCTACACTAACCAACAACAGTTTGGCCTATATTATGAAACAGTTTAAAAGTTAGCTTATGTAGATACAGGACTATAGATGAACATGAGTTGCTGCTTTTAATTTACTTACAGTCACTGACCAGGAGATATATTCAAATACTATTATTATATATATTAGTATAACACAAAAATATCATTTAAAATATAAAGCCTATTACAATAGGACTAAATTTTATAGAATCTCCATAGTTTCACAGGACTCAGGAGATCAATAAACCAATTCAGTGAACTTTGTACTGCTTCCAATCTCATCATCCTAAATAGTATGGCATATAAAATATATGGTGGCCAATACACACCATTACAGTGCAAGGAGGGAACAGCGACACTTCGTTGCTGCCACACAAAACTTCACCACTGCTTTAGTTATTTCAGATTTCTTTTCTGAGAGTACGAGTGCAACATAAAATTCTCTGGACGTCCCTTGAAATGGTTGCAATATAAGCTGGAGGAGATACCTCCGAATATCTCGATAGAAGGAGCACTTTAAGAGGACCTGATCAATACTTTCCGCCTCATTGCAGGGGCACGCATGATTTATGGCTGGCAAACCCTGATATTTCATTCATTCATTCATTCATTCATTCAATTTCTATCCTGCCCATCTAGACCAAGGGTCTACTCTGGGCGGTTAATATATCTACCTGATATCTACCTTCTAGTAGTCTAGATGGAAGAACATTAAACGTAGCTGACATAAAAGCTTTCCTAAATTTGGGGATAGTTATTTTGAATAGATAAAGGTACTATTCCTAAATACATTAAGTTTGTCCAGCACCGCTAAATGATCTTGGAGCTTGACATCCCAGACCCTCTTTTTGATGGTTGCATTGGAATTAGCATGGCCCATCACTAAGAGGACACCTGGGGGAGAAGCCCAACCTCAGTAATTCAGAAGACAGATTCCTCCTTCAAGTTGACTAGAACATGTCCGGCAATATCAAGGGTGCCAAACTTGTTGGAGCAAAAATAGGTTTCAACCTGTAATTAAACATGGGGGCTAAAGCACATGCTTTGATGGAAACTAACCCTGCCTCCAATCAATGTATACCATTCAAGACACATTGAGGCACTGCGAAGATCCCTCTCAAAAACTTTATCTGTACAGTACTACTTTCAAGGGCTTCAGATTAGAAAATGTGAACAATAGAGCCCCATAAAGCATTTGGGGTATAATTTTAGCTTTGAAGACTTGGATCACTGACAGTAGATATTGTCCACTATTATTGTAGAAGAACCTCAATAGCACAGTACTGCATTTCTGTGCATTCGATGTTACATGGTTCAGATGGGAGGACCACGACCCTGAGGAATGAAATATCATACCTAGATATTTTTAACAGGATACTTGCTCTTTGTTGTTCCCATTTAATGTTCATCTATGTTTATTTTGATGAACATGAATTAAAAGCAGGTGAATTGAAATCAATGATTTTTTAAAAATCAAATTGATTTAAATGACAATTTAAATTGTCATTTAAATCACAATTTAAATCAAAAAATAAATTTTAAATTTAAGTACTCAAACCCCCCCCACTTTTTTCCAAATTCAAATAGTGATTTAGATCAATTTGCTTTAATTAAATCCACTCTGGTTAAAATGCCCTTGTAGTCTTCTTCTTGCACCATATTATGCAACAATGCAGATCGTCTTCTGTTTTTTAAATGGTCAAAATTATGCAGCAATTTGTCATGTAAAATTGATGTATATAAACAGATGGAATTAGATACAGATGCAGGATTTAGAAGAAGTAAATTCTCATTAATTAACAGTTGAGAAATACTAATTGATTGAATACAGCCATTATGAAAAACATATGACTATAACTAGACATGTGATCGTATGGAAGTCTGTAAAGGCAGGTACTTTACTACAAGCATGTTATATTTTTAATACCTCACATTTGTGGGACGATGTTCTACAAGTCATATTCAATCATATTACTGTTTGCGCATTCCTGGAAATAGCATGCAGATGATTTCTTAGTATAGGACAAAGAGCATGAAGCCAAGAGAAGAGTTTAGATTTTTTTTAAAAAAACGGAATGCAGTTTCCATACAAACAATTGTCATGGGGGAATTATTCCAATGTGATGGTATAGCAACAACAACAACAACAAAACACCTTCCTGACCTTCCTAGATTTTCTGGCTTACCATCACGCAACTATAAAGTGGAAGTGGAAGAAGAATGGACTTTCAAGACTATCAGGTGTAGTACTTGCTGTCTATTTAAAAAATTTCTGTACTACATCTGAGCAGTTTTGTCAGTTGGTATACATAAAACATCAAACAACAATCTGCTATCTGGCTCACCATATTGATAACAGTAATTTTTCACATTGTAAAAAACAGAGCTGGGAGATGATAGGAACAAAAAGCCCTATCCAACCAGCTAAAACTGTATAATTAATTCAAGATGCTTGACCACATTTTTTTTTAAAAAAAGACCTGGTATCAAACAAATGCATAATGTCGGCACTAGCGGCGCTTCCCTTGAAAGGGCATTCCAGAAGTTGGGGCACTGCCATTAACAAAGTCCTCTCTGTAAGCAACAGACCAGAATAGTGCTCTGTGTATATTTTCATCCTATTACATCCCACCCAAACAGGTAGGTGGAACACAGTAATGTGGGTGGGGTGAAACCATTCTCTTCCAACAAGGAGCCTCCTAGAATCTAGAGAACATGGGAGACAGATGGTTGTTGTGGGTTTTTTGGGTTCTCTTTGCAGTCCCAGAAAACTCATCCCTTTGAAAATTATGTGGAACTGCTGCCAAGGACAGTAAGACACACAGAACTAGATGGACCATTTTGCTCACTGAAGGTGAGTTTGATTTCCGGGATCTCATCCTTTTCACTCTATTCCACAGCTATTCCATTCAGTGGCTTTTCAAAAACACTTTATGACATTTGGGATATGTGGGGCAGCCATGGAGGAGAGAATGTAGAGTTTTCTGTTTCTGCAAGAAACATTGCCTATGTCTCCTATGGATCGGATGCTGATCCTCATTAAGACACCTCTGGAAAACAAAATGAATAATCAAAAACTATGTTATAGAAGTATTGTTAATATACATACAAACACATGCTATGCCTTCACGAGCATGCCGGGGTTCACATCCTGCACACTTCCAGCCAGTAGATCCAGGTTTGCATTTGCATTGTCCAGTGACAGGATCACAGGGAACAGGCAGTGAACCATGTGGATGACACTCACATTCTTGACAAGATCCACCAGGGATGTTTGGAGTCCCAGTGTATCCAGGAGAACACCTATAGGTTGAAAAATAATAATGGAAATAGTTACACATAAAGACTATGAGTGTAAATGGTTTTCTAATTTCAGTGGCAGTTTTTGGGGGTAGAGGGGGAAGTCTGTAAAAGTCAGAATTGATGGGTGATATAAGCTAACATGCCTTTCTAAATTTCATTCATCTTCATAGGATTTTTCTTTTACATATTTTCCATGCTCGAATTTCATTCTAGTTTGAGGGCATAGCTTTGTACTTTTCTGCCCTGAACTGACTGCTGCAGTGCCTGTAATATGCTTTTTAAAAGAATTCCTCTGCCTGTTCCATATTTCAGACCATATTTGATTATTCCTTGGAAGAAGTCAGATCTATAATTATTACAAACTATCATGTCAATTGTTCCCTACTTCCCCAAGTGCTGAGAAATTTAGTGTTCTTAGCTTTAATATTGCATTTAATGATGTAAGATGCTTCATTGTTCTTAGCTTTAAATATTGTGTTTTAATGGTATTAACCACCATTGTGCACTCATTGTTTTCAACTTTAGACTTTTTTTTCAATGCTGTAAGCTGCCTAGGGTCCTTTTCAAAGAGAAAGGTGGGATGTAAATATTATAAATAAATAAATAATAAGTTCTAAGAATCAAACAAAACAAAACAAAACAGATAACAAGTCATTAGAAGCAGGAATTCTTCAAACACTGCAAGATGGCTCTGTGACATAAACTTTTTTTTTTCACTTAACACCTTTAGTAGTTTGAGGTTTGTTTTCTGAATGGTCATAATCAGAAAGTTAAACATGGTCTTCCTCTTGGCAAGACTGAGTGATAAGGCCAGAACATCTGCTGGATTTCCATTGGTGGAAGAATAAACCAACTTTCACTTTCTATAAAGATGTACCTTTTGCACCATTTAGCTTGACTCATGGTTTGGCTTCATTTGGATAAAATCACTGATGACTGTCCCCTTTTCTTGTAATACAGTATTAGCTTTATTAAACAAATAAAAAAAGAGAGAATATCCAGAAGCAAACAAGTCACAAATTTAAAAGGCTGCAGATCTGATACATATGTCATGTACCAAATAGGCCAGAATCCTATTGATGTTTGCATAAAATTTGCATAACCTGTCCTGGATAATTGATAAAATGTCAGGACATATCTCAGTTACATATGTGAGTTCATAACTGACACTTTGTCAATTAGTTGCATCAAGTAGCATAAACCTTGTGTGAATATCACT